CGGCGAGGATCGTCGCAATGCCTCCCCTCCGTGCCATGTCGATGGACTGACCGAGTCGGGAATCTTTTCGCATCGAGCTGTCACCTCATTCGTGCATTCAGACGACGCGTCACCTGTCCGCGTTCCTCTCTCACTCCGACATTTCACAAACAATCTGGAACTGCCCGCCTCAAGGAATAGGTTGCCGAGCCCGCGGTCCCCCTCCTCGATCCGAGCTCCGGCTGTCATCCCAGAACACCAAAACCCTGTCTCTAGGCTGGGATCATATGCCAGTCATTATTCATGAATGACGGAGCTCATATCCAAATGATCGATGTAAGCTCGGAATTGTTTCAAGTCAACCGCAGTCGAAATTCCGCGCCGACGCTGAACACTCGTGTCGGCCGCGGGAAAACGCTGCGAGCTCGTACGTGCCACGTCGAGAAACGCCGAAACTCCACCACAAAGGAACAGAGTTTATGCAAATGGCAAATCATCACTCATAGCCATATACAGAAGAGGACGTGGGCTTCCCCAAGCTTCTCGCTGAAAGTCCCACCGCGTCGTTCCGACGGTTGCCCCACATGCATGCCGAGCATCAGGCCAGGGTGCGTCTTTAGTTTTTTTACGACGAACTTGATGAAAAACTCTGCCTTCACTTCGTTGAACATTTCGTACCTCTGAGCTCACGGCACGTCTGCCACGGTCGGCATGGAGAAACCCTGTCAACGGTCGTCATCGCCAGCGGAGACCGTAGGAGGAGATGCGAAAAGCCGAGATCGGTGCAGAAGGAATGGCCGATAGTGAATTGTGCAGGAGGAAGAGAGGTGTCGCTTGCATAGACGGAAACGAAACCCCCTGGTGAGCACCGGTAGCCTTTGGAACTCCGGGCGACAATCTGGAATGAAGTAAATCGATATTTGCCGCCCAGATATGCGGATCTTTGCGGATAGCTCCCGACCCAGACTCTGTCTTCGAGGGAGTGGAGGCGCAAGTCTTCGAGGCTTCGCCAAAGCAGATCCCGGCGTGCGCATGGATGAACATATATACGTGGCGCCGAATACGGGAAAGGTCGCTACATGCGGATACGAGACGGGTTTTCCGTTTTCCACTTCCACGAAAAATCCAAGCAGCGCGGGGATGACCACGCAAGGAGTGTTTCTGAGTGAGCCGACGAGCTTTCTCTCGATCAGTGAAAATGGCATCTCATCTCGTCTTCAGGATGGTTCCGCATCGGAAATTCGGCTCTTCGCGAGGGATCAGTGTGATTGGCTCTTGGATTCTGGAAAGCTCAGCAGTTCGCAGAAAGATCCGAGCGAGCGATTTGCATAGCGCGAAGACTGTACTTTGAAGAGCGCAAGAACGAGTTCTGCGTTTCCTCGCAGAGAGATTGTGCACACGGATCACGAATCGTTCAGGCAAGGTCTACCAGCATCGTGAGCGTCGGAGTTGGCCGGAGAGGCGACTGCGGAGGAAACTCGTTTTACCTCGAAGGAACGAAGTCGTTCTTGCGAGATTTCAGTCCACGGCTACCGAAGTAGGTCGGCTCATAGTTGGCGAGCGCTGCGAATGCGGAATCAGGGAGGGAGCCGTGAACTCATTTCTCGCGAACTGCGAATAGGTCGCATTCAAGGCTCAATGACGGAAAACACGCAATTCAGTCTATCCAAGCCCAAATCCACGCGACCCAGGAACCAAAAAGCCCTCTGGCAACAGCGGCCACGAGAAGATTGTCGACGCGGGACTCCAATCATTAACGAAAGGTGTTCACGCATTCTTCGGGAGCAGTGGTAATTACGAGCTCGAGAGAGGAACGGCTTTCAAAACTAACTCATTAATATCATCTCCGACGGTCTCGTCTCGACCCGCTCCGCTCAACATCCAGGTACTCCCATAGAGAGAGGAACAACAGCAGCAGCAGCAGACTCCCGCAAGCGGGGCAGGGAGCGTTGTGCGAAAGAGTTCTGCCTGTATGGGTGAACGCGACGATGAACAGATTCCTGATCGAATTCAGACTCCGTGATGAGCTCCCTGGACCAAGCGATGGATTCGTTCAGGCGGGGCTATTCAGCGATGGGCATTCGAACGATTATCTCGAACAGCACCCCATTCGCCGCTCTGAAATGCGCGTAACGGCTCGAAAAACGCTCGGGAGACGTCACTTCGATGCCCAAGATGGCGCGAATGGTGATGCCACTTCCGGAAACAAATAAAAATCTTCGGTGCTGCCGTATTCCCCTACGCAAAACGGCATCCCGCGCTGCGCGCCATGCCCTACATACAAAACTATCGTGGAAATGCCTCTGTCGATGTTCATACGATGTCCCGATGCTCGGCATTTTCGACGGGTTTCTACTCTTCTCCTCCGAGGACTCGAACACTTGTTTTTGGAGTTCGCAGCCCGCGAGAATAAATCGAACATCCGCTCCTAATTCGCCTGTTCGCTGAGACGAGCATGAGACAGCGCCTCCAGCAAATAGACAGCCTCTCCGATACGAACTCCGTGCTAAGCAGTTCTCGCGGTTTTTCCCGCGCCGTTTGTCGCTCTCTTCGGCGAGAATTTATTGACAGTTGCTTCTATCAGACTGCTTCTCAGAGACGAGAGCACCAGATTAATCGATTGAGCGGAGAATATCATCGGCCCTCACATGCATCCGTACAGCGCATACACACGGCTAGTGGATCGAGGTCTGGGTCTCCTACTAGCGTTCCTCTAGTCCCGCCGGTTCCATACCCTCGATCGCGAAGGACATTCCCCAGGAAAGTTCTGACCTTGTTCTTCCGGCACCCCGAATTCAGCTTGATTTATGCGTCGATTCCCACGCGAACGACATCATGCAGGGTGGCAGTCAAGCGTCACGGGTTAGCCCGAAAGAGCTTCTTCTGTCGTTTCTGTTGAGGGTGCCCTGAATCGCTCCCGCAGTCCAAGCTGACTCAATCGGGCGAGCGATCTCCGCTCCTCGCTGATTCTGCTCCGTTGGTCGGTGGTTCAGCGCACAAGTTTCGCGGGGGTTCCAATGGCGAAACGACTCAACTGTAAATACCAGAGAACAACGGGAAGAGACGTATTTGTTTCTCTCTCGCTGTCTTCCTCGGTCTCTCTCAGCAAAGCATCATCTCGGTGCGTCCGGTTGCGTCGAGTCGACTTCCGGTCAGATGCCCAGGATCTCGAGGGCCAGTTCCGCAGTATCTGCACTCATTCCCGGACTTATCTCGGGTGCGCGTCTCTCTAGATCCGCGGAAAGCCGAGGTCTCGGTGCGCTTTACGGGCCTTCCTTCCAATTCCAGCGGAAAGCTACCTCAGGGGGGGCAACGAGCTCAAGAAGCGAGTATTGTCACTGCGATACGGGAAGCGGGAGCAAAGAGCGGCGTCCCACTCGAGGTTTGCGCTCACGGCTCGCAGGCAAGTGATGGCAATGAGACCGAGGAACAGAGAAGAAATAAATCTGCGGATCACAAAACTCCTCCGGAGAGCTCTCGCGACCCTTTTCCGCAGCATAAAAAAGTTCCCTTACGCACAGAGCGGGAAGACTTCGCTCCACTCCGGAGCATCGCCGACGCGAGAGGGACATTTTCGGAAGATGGCGAAAGACTTCGGTTTCCCCCGGCCCAAGCCGAGTTACGGAGACTCGAACCCCGTGCGAAACGTTTCATTGACGATGAAATGAAAATAAACTATACGTCAGGTGGCGTAGCTGTTTCCGCAGCTGTCCAAGGTGTTAGCTCCGCATGAGCCGCTCACCAGCTGGCAAGCGAGTCGTTGTCATGCTGTCATGGTGCTCGACGACGACGACATCCATCGCAGTGCTCGTCGACGGCTTCAAGCCCGGCTTGATTCTAGCAAAACAACCGCGGGGCATCCTTACCGCTCTCATTCAATTAGGCATCGAAAACACCAACCCGGCCTCCGAGATCTTGCTGGTCGCCTTGAATCGCATTCCGAAATTACAGTCAAAACACGAGCTCTCGCTGCGGATGTGCGCCTCGTAAGACGAATTTGAGAAGCTCGTACCCTACTCAGCGAAATTAAACCTACTAATGGTATTTCCAACAAGACGAATAGAACGAATGTCCGACATTACCGCTCTTGGAATAGGCGGTTCCCTCGTGAGTCGCTCCCGCGAAGTTGGCTCCGAATATTCCGAGACGGGGAGCCCCACGGGGAGATTTCGAGCACAGATGTCGTATGCGAAATTCCACCGATCCAGGCGGCAATCGGATACTGTGTCGCGCTAATTCCACCTCGAAAAATGCTCAATTCTTCGGAACAGCTGATCTGGTACGTTCGGACGTCTCAGCGCACTTCGGCTCGTCTCCCAAGCGTTATACGTACGTACACCAATAACTGGTACTAGCACATCTGCTGGGAATAGAATCGTCCGAAATGAAGATTCAATGAGACTCCCTGCGAAGAGCACTCGATCTTCCATCCAGCTTGTCGTCATGCCGCCGCTTAATCGAGTGACTGCTCTTGATTAATGATCATCGCCCAGGGCCCGGAGACTTATAGAAGACAAGACGGACGAGGGACGGTTTTCATGATTTTTTCTGCCGCCTTTGTTGTTCGCACGGACTTTCTGTAGAGTCGAGACCAGCGCGGAAGAGGCAGAAGCCTTCCGGGGACGTGCGAGGCGCTCGCGGAATCCTTGGCCAACCTTCCCGGTGAATCGATGCAGCTGTCGGCGACCGGCTTGGTGACCTCGGGAATCCCAGAGTCTCTCAGCGCTGTCTACGTGTGAAATGAGCTTGCTTTCAATATGTCATGATAATATCTAGCTATGTTCCCGGAACACGATCGAGCGGAAGTTTAGCTGTAGTTCATCGTTGATGGTCTGCCGGAATCGAATTGACAATAATATTCCCTCTGTCGACGTGTACGATATGTTCTCGATATCTCAGAACAAATGGACAGTTTCCCGTCGAGGGAGGAGCGTCAATTTCGGGCTATGCGGGCATGTATCCGCCGAGTGAGTCGAAGTGGCAACGGTAGTCTAATGGGTTATGTTGTTCCGACTTTTCAGGAGATCGCATCGATCCTCATCAGCTTCGAAAAGCACGAAACATGGCTAACGAAAGAAGTTCAAATTCGACCTCACAGCGGCTCGATGCTCCTCTACAGCCGAAAGCGCGTCCGGTATCGAAGAGATGGCTACTGCTGGAAGAAGCGGAAGGACGGGAAGACGACGCGCGAAGATCACATGAAGCTGAAGGTCCAAGGAACGGAGGTTGGTCTCACATTCCTCCTATTCAGGGTTAGATATCGCTAGTTTCTCAAGATTCGCCGTGATCGCGCCGGCGTATCATCCTACTCCGCTATCGAAAGTATTAGGCAATCGAACCGCCAGACGCGGTCGCCCCCGGCTCGGAGCCGAGGATATTTCGAGATTCTGTTCAAGTTTCTATCGGATGTTCGCGGTGGTGCAAAGTAGGAAAGCGACTCGAGATCGGATGGAGAGTGCTCTGGTGGGGATGAAAAACGAAGCAGCCTCGAAGAGTGATCTAATCCTTTTTAAAATGCAATATCGTCCGCTTCTGTGAAGAGCTAAGCTGAGACGGCGGCAGCAGCAGCAGCAGCTACAGCCGACTTGCTGGTTCGTTGGACGGCCGATTGGCTTGCTGTGCAAGTGAGTGAACGAACGAGCGAGCGGGCGAGCCGCTGCGAGGGTGTTTCGGTTTTTCTTCCCTTCCGAATAGTCTCTTCCGGCGGCTTCCCAATCTTTTGTGGCTCTCGCTCCTCCTCATTCCTTTATCTCGCCCCCTGCAAGCGCCGCCGCCGCCGCCACCATCGCCTCCACCATCGGCGCCGGAACTCTCTCGGAAAGGGAGCGAAACTCCCTCCTCATTCCTGACACATATACTCGCAGACACGTACGCGCGTCCGTACATACGTACGCACGCACGCACTCCCGCGAAATGTTTCCGCTTCCATCTTGAATTTGGACCGCGCGGCCTGTTGAGTTCGTTCTCGGTTTTGCTGTCAAGTGTCGGAGAGTCGTTCCGACCTTCCCCGAGGTCATACGAGTCGTGACGATCGGAGAGCATCTGATTTGATTTTTATCTCAACGACGACGACTGAGAGGGTCGGAGCTCTCGTTCGGGTCGGGCTCTGTGTGCAGCGACCGTACGCCAGGTCTATTCAGAACGTGAGCGATTCGAAGCGCCGCGTCAAGTTTAATATATTCGCGCTTTTTCCTCGGCCGAGGAGGATTTCCTTGGGCGTGAGATCGCGTGTGTTTCCGTTCCCGCCACGGTTGTTCGCGTTTGTTCCGCCGCTGGGAGGGCATTTGTTTATTCCTGTGTCGGTTCGTCTGTTGCTGTCAGCCAACAGCCCCCCTCTCGCCGCCGCTTACGCCGCGCGGCTGCCTGTTGGCTGTGTGTAGTCTTTCTAATTTGCGCCAGGCTTATTACTTCATTCACTGACTGCCCGACACTCGCGGCTCTGGTTGGCTCACCACGTCTGCTCGCTAGGTCGGCGGATAACTTTGCCGCGCGGAAAACTGTCAGGGTGGGTGGCGGTCGGTCGGTTGCCGGCGGTCGCCTAGGGAAGCAGGAGGCTCCGTTGTTCTTTGCCGCGTTGCTATGTGCTCCATTTGTCTATTAAATTATGAAACAAGCTGAACCAACAGCTGGCAACGGGAAAAGCTTTGGCGGACATCAACAGCAGCGGCGCCGACTATATGCAGCCGACTAGCCCTCAAGAGCATAACTTGTCGTTCCCTCAGCATGTTGAGTCTTTCACGCTGTTTCCCTCAGTCGCAGGACCGAGCGCATGCCGTGAGAACATTTCAGAGTAATTTGCCTTTTCATCTGCAGTATCGCTCCTGCGCACAAAGAATAATAGGGTCGAGACCCGGATACCGTCATTCCGGCCGGATTCCACGGTGTTTTCCGCCTCGTGCGGAAAGTGGATACGCCGCCCGGCGTCCGTGCTTTGTTTGTGAATTTTAAGCGAGCCATCCGACGAATCGCCCCGGATTCGCGCAAGGATAACAAAGCGTGACGATAAAAGTTTCTGTTTAGGCTCGGCGGTACGCTACTCTGATCCGATTCGAAGATAGCGATGACCAGGAGGAGGATGAGTAAGCCAAACAGCGAAGAATTCGTCGAGCGGGCGAGAGAGTGTCAATAGGAATAACGAGCGAGCGAGAGAGGAATAACAGTGAGCACGGAGGCACTCGTCGATCGCGCAGATTCGGATGCTCGTGGAACGGAGTGAAGATTTCCAAGTCATTCGGTTTGATTATCTCCGCCGTCCGTATCTCGGTCTGTCGGTCCCGTGATTTGCACGTTTTTTTTGGGGGGGGGGGGAGAGGGGGAACAGTCGTCGACGACGCTGCTGTCGCTGATGACGTGCTTCAAGTTGCTTCTTGTTCGCCGTGTGAACGGGGAACTAATTTACTCGCCGCTGTCCTTTGCCCACTCTTTGAACAAATAAACGAAGGGAGGAGCGAGCCAATCCCGAACGAATCGATGGCCAAGGGAGAGTCCCGCGTTTTTCTCAAGCGAACATCACACAGAATGGTCTGCGCTCTAACCCTTCGACTCGGCCCGCGGCGGTGGTGACGTCGCAGCGATGATGACGATTGAAGGACGGCGTGGCGGGTGCACGGGACAAGAGAGAGGATCGACGAGGAAGAGAGCGCTGAGGGAATGACTAAGCCAGGCGCAGAGTGAGGAAGAACAACGCGACTCCGGGTTGCCTCCAGTAAATACGCTGAGCGGAGATTACCGTGGGTACAAATGTGAGAATGGTTCCCGGCGGTTGTAGAACGACATCGTTCTTGCCCATCCCGATTTTCGTCGCCTCGTTTTCTCGCTCTTCCGTCCGTCTATCGTCCCTTCGCCGATAACTCGGACAATCTGTGTTATCACTGAAACGGATCAGCATCCGAGTCGGCTTCCGGACTTACGAGCTGGCTGGCTGGCCGGCGTGTTCTTCGAGCCAAGCGCTCGCCCGCTTGCTGGCTGACTGCACATAACGATTCACTCGTTCGTACTGATGCCAGTCCTCGTCGGAGCACTGGTTGCTGCCTTGTGCGCAAAGTTTGCATGAGTCGAGATCGATATGTCGGCGGCTGTACGGGACTCGGAGGGAAGACGCGATCGACCCTGCGCGGCTCGAACGGAACGCGGTACAGTTTTCGATTTTCGGGGTCTGCCTTTCAGGAGCGAGAGAGGATTCATTCACGCGTTTCAACCACAAAGCCGCGACTTAGCGAGCTCGCTTCAGTCTTCGCGAGCCTGCTAAGCCTCCTAACCAATCGTTCCTCGAGAAGAGGCTCTGCTCGAGAGAGCACGGAACGTCTGAAGATTGTCCCGATTCCGATTTCCAAGTACAACGGAGAGCCAGCTATGTTCAAACAGGTCGGGGAATTTCCTCGGCGATTCCAGAGCGGCGCTTTCGCCGGTCTCTGGTTCCTGAGCTCTGCTCGTCCCCACAGCCTCGGCTGCGGACGGATCACTAGCGGATGCAGGCCCACGCAGCGGAAGACAAACGTAGCGGGAAAGTTCTGACGATCCGCACACAGATCCGCGGAGTCGCCGGGCTCCCCAGCTTGTTCCCCGTGGTTACGTAAAAGTGTTTGTTTTACCTCACCGCCATATGGAGCCTCGTAATATGATTACCGAGCCACTCCATTCAGGAAGTTCATGCTCGCGCCCCTCGTGCGACTCAGTCGGGGGCTGATCGCATGCGGGAATAAATACAGAGCAAAAACCACGGAGACAGTTGTTGTAGAACGGATGCAGAACGGACATGGAAAGGCAACAGAAGTACGGATCGGATCAGAAGAAACCATCGGGGGGAAGGCAGAACGAGTGATGAAACACTTCTTCGCGTCCGCTTCGACGGAAACGGCGACGACTTAGTCTCAGTGTGAATTGTGCCAACGCTAAACGAATTTCTCGTGAAATGCGTGGCTGAGCTCGCATCTTCTAGAGAGGATTCGGTGAGAATCGGATCGCGATTCCGGTCGGAGTTTTCAATAGTTGTCCAGCGGGCCTCAACCAATCGAGTCCCCGTGGTATTTATTCCCTGCATGGAATACCTACGCCAGTTCCTCTTCCATCGAACGCTACATACTAGAAACCCGAGGCCTGATCTCCCTCAAAATCGCTGCACTTTCCGTGGATAGTTTTCTTTCTTTTCCGGTTTTCTCATGGAAGATTCCGCCGCCGAGATAAGGAGAGGAGCGTTCTGATCTCTGGAAGGCTCCGGACTTGTGACGTTTCCGCTCGCGGTCGGAGTTCCTCGGCCGGAGTCGTAAACACAGAGAGCTTCGAACAAGAGCTTCGAAACGTTATCGATTTAAGCGCGATGATCACCTTGAAGGTCATTCCGAGAGATCCATGAACCAGTGAGCATCTCCTTGGAGCGGCAGGGCAACGTCTACGCGAGCACATTGACTAAAATTAGGTTCATGATTTCATCGTCTGCCCGCGGGATCGATGAGGCGCGATGAGGGAGGGGGGTCGAGTAAATGGGGAATCTCCGCTCCTTCCTCACATTCTCTCTGACCGAGGCGACCGATGAACGGACCGACCGTCTTACTGACGGGCCAACCACCCGCTCTGCCATCCCTCGATTGCATTCGTCTGCGCTCATAAGGTGAAGCAGTCGGCGCAGACCAAGTCGCGCCGCCCCTGTGAGAATGTTTCCTTCTCTCAGAAGATGAACAAACTTCAACTTGGGGTAGAGTCCTTGCCCTTGCCCATCCGTCGTCTCGCTCGATATTACCAGCGTCGGCGGTCGTCGTGGTGGCGGGGCGGCGCCGGCAGAAGCAGCAGCAGCGGCCATAGTGTGGGCGAGTTTCTCTCAAATAGCCAGCCATCTTCTGCTGTTGTCTGAAAGAAGAAAAAGTTCTTATCGACAGTGTCAATCGAGTCTCCTGAGGACACTTTATATTGGAGACGAACAATAAAAAGAATGAGCTGGGCTTCTGAAAATTCCAGCTGCCCGTCTGTGCTGCATCGAACCTCCTTCTCGAGGATCGGAAGTTGCAGTCGGAGGAAAGCTCTGGTGAGGGACGACAGACGCATCCCGAATGTCTCCTGTTCGGCGTTCGATCTCGCCATATCCCGTGATTCTGACTCCGCGAGCATCGTGGGGACAAAAACATCGATGGTTATTCCTTGGAGTGTCCGAGGGCGGACATATGAAGGCCTCCACCATCAGAGGAGCTCCTTCCGATCTCTTCCAATCGGACTCCTCGTCTAAGAGGGGAGATGGGTTAGCTTTGCCTTCGTTCTAGTCAAATCCTCGAGGATCACTCACTCAGTTGATGAACGCAGAAGCAAAGCTCTTTTCTCGGTCGATGGACGGCTGGAGAGAGCGCTTCCCCAATTCGTCTTTTATTCCTTTTCAATCCCATCTCCGGAGGATTCCTTTTCCTAATTCTCTCTTGGTGGGTCGCTTAGTCAGTAAGTCAGTCGTTCGACCGCTCGAGCCGTCGGCCGGCCAGCGAGTCGGTCAGTCTAGTACACGGCGACTGGCTGAAGCTGCTTGTTCCCTCGCGGGAGCAAGTCGCGCGGAAAATTGGGCGGCCAGTGGGCTGCCGTCGATCTAAGAGATCGACAGTAAAATAGAGGATTTGATATCCCCCACGAATAAGGCACAGCTGATGAGCGGAGAACACCTGACGAAAACTAGATTTCAATCAACACTGGAACTCATTGTCGGGACCGAGATCGACGACAGCCGTCCGTTCGTTCGTCCGTCCGCTCGACCGACCGATCATCCGAATTCCCAAAGCCTGATGGCAGAGCTCGACAGGAGAACAATCCTGCTCCGATCTCCACCTCCCATGGAGGAGGAGCGAGATGATCAGGCATTGAGGTCTGCTGGTGTTAAAATCCTATTGTTTCGAATTCCAGTGTATCTACGGATGTTATGTGCATTCGGCCATTCTTCCCACTTTCCACCGGCGCTGCTACTGGCTCCTCCAGAACCCGGATATCGTTCTGGTTCACTATCTGAACGTCCCGTTCTCCGACGACAGCAAAATGCTGACTGCCCCGACCCTGTCGTGCTGCGCCGACGCAAAAGAATGGACGAAGGAGGAACTTATGGCACAGCTGAAGCCAATGTGTAAGTACGCAGATATCGATCATGAAGACATTCGTTCGGTAATTCTTGCTTGCGGAGGACTGAATCACGGCTCGATTAATCGTATTCCCCGCTGAGCTTCTCAGAAAGGGCTTCGGAAATTTCTGTACAAACTCACACGAGTTGGTCACGATTCGTGGAGGAGTTCTCGGATGATTTCGTTTTTTCTTCATGGGACATTGAAGGATTTTCAGCTTCTGGACCGGGAAGGGATCTCCGACCGGGAAGAGTCCGACCAAGCCTCCCTTTTTAATGAAGTGTTCTCCTCCACTATTCCCGAGCGGAGATCCCTTGCATGCACACCCTCGGGGTAGTAAAGCTCATTTTATGACTTGCCACACCGCCGTTGAGAAATCGGATTTGCACCATGATCCCGACAGGCCAGATCGCTCGGCGCTAGAGTGGATTGTTTCGTCGCTATCCATGAGTTCTGCCCACTCAGAATCAGAACGCTGCTGGTCGAGAACCACGAACACTCCTCTATCCGTCAAGGGCTCTTCCCTCGATGTGTTTTCTCAGTGGCGCTCGCCCGCCAGTCGGCCAGCAGTGTCAACGTTCAGCAGTTAGTCTGACCAACAGAGCGTGCAGCTGGTGGGAGATTATGTATGTGCTCGAGTCATAAAACGGAACTCTTGTGCCTCTGGAGGGCAGGCAGCGAGCGAGGATGAACGAACGCACCAATTAAGTTGGACATGTACCCCGTTCGGCTTTATGAGCGAGCTGTTTACTCGGAGTACTCTTGCGGCGGCGGGCTTATAATACGAGAACGACGTCGACGAAAACTCCGAGCGGAATCCAAACCGCTACACGAGACAACCCTCCGACTCCTTGAGAATCAAATGCGGGAAACGTTCGTCTCGACATACTCCATCCAGAGCGATCAGGAGGGATGAAGATCGAGGAACCGATAACGGACAGGCGACGAGCAAAGACATTAAAGCCGCAACGGGGTGGTGAGCTGAGCCCCAACGTTCTTCAGGCTCGTCATGATCCTTTCCGGTGGGGACTCACGTCCCAGATGAGATTATTTTCCGATTGGACGTCGGACTAGTCTCCCAGCCACCCGTCCCGCCAGCAATTTTATAGATTGCTTGAACCCGAAACCACCACAGGACTCCGGGCCGGGCAGCGAGGATCTTTTCGTATCGGACAGCTGTCGTGATTTTCCAGACCCACCGCAGAGCTCTGTTCGCATCGTATAATATGCTCGCATCGTTTGTTTCCGACGCAGCCCCTTCGACTCATTTGCCACGAAGCGCCCCCCGTCAGTATCGACGTTTACTCAAACGATGCCACCGATTTACGTCAGCGCATTGATCGAGCGATGGTCCGAATCCTGAAATCCATCCTGCGACATTCTTTCCCGTTCGATGGCGAGTTCGCGGGGTCGGACGTCCGAGAGAACCCGCCGAATAATGTCGCGATCCGTCATCCCTCCGCATAGGGAGATACGGAGCGAAATCCCACAGAGAAAATCCATACGCAATCGGAAAGGGAGGGAAGAGACCTCATTCATCATAATATGATGCCTCACTCTTTGGGGAGAAAAAAAACAAATGTGTCTTCTCTCTCGGGCGCTTGTTTTATATGTTCGAGCTTCGGTGGGAATCGGGCTCCCTCGCCGAAATTGGGCCTCCGGTCATTCCCGATTCGAAATACGATGGCCCGCCGTCCATGATGACAGCGTAGGCAGAACCTCGGTCGAAACCTCGTCGCGTCCCGTATAGCTCGAGCTTTTCAATTTGTGCGGCAGCCAATAAATCTGGCCAGCCGTGCTCCAACGACGATTTAGATAAATTAAGCGAGCGGAACGACCTTGCCGTCGGGCATAAAAAATATTATTGCCAACCCATGAGTCTTCCGAATCATTGACAGCGAGCCGAGATCAATCAGCGGACGTTATACATTACAGTTTACCTCGAAGAAGATGAAGTCGAAAATGGGCTGAAAATTGCACATCAGGACGCCAAGTCGAAGTCCGACGACCTGAAAAGCGATTATAAAAATCTGAAAGAGCTGCGAGATGCGAAGAGCGGTAAATTTTTCAAAGACCCACGCGAGGTGAAAAAAGTCACCTCCTTGAATACTGTCGAGTCCATCGTTTGTCAACTGCTGGAAAAACAAAAGGAGAAGGTCAGCTCCCCGGACAAGGGTCCCGACTGCCCCTGCGACTCCACAACAAAACCATCCACGCCAAAATCGAATATCACCAGTCATCAGCCGAGCATTGTTTCTGTGCACACGCCACGCAGCGAAGCATCGATCCTACAGGTAAGGCGTGACATCGATCATCTTGCGGAAGTCCCGACAGAACCATCCTCAAAATAATCTGATGGCCGTTTCCGAACTGATTGCTGCTCTAGATCTCCCCCCTCCTTTCCTCAGCAAAATGTATCCCGGGGCCTCGGCACTCGTGACTTGACGCCTCCGGCTCCGAGAGGCACTGAGGCTATCTTGTCGGAATGGAGAAAACATTTTTTTCAAACCGCGGCTGGATACGAATTCCCACTGAATTTGTTTCACGATTTTCCACTATTCCGACCCCTATTCGAATCCCCTCGTGTTGCTATACAACCTATTAAACCTTTTGCCGCGAGTAGCGGATACGAGTAGCGATCATTTTCCACACGATTTTGTATCGATACCGCTGAAAACCCGAGATTCGACCAAAATGGACTTGATGCCGCTCCGAGTCAGAGTCGTCGATCAGGTCTCCGATTTCTCCCCGCTCCGGAGATTGAGGAAAAAATAATTAAGATGCCCATGATTTAATTTGTGCCCCAACTTTCATAATGGCCTCAAACTCGATGCTTCCAGATAACGACCCAGACAACCCCGATGAGTCCGGGGAGTACTCAGTCCATCACCGTCGTGAACGCCTCTAATGCATTCTCGCAGCAGAGTATCACAGCAAAGAAGATCGCGACGGGTCATCCGGTGCACCGCATCATATCCCCAAAAAATTTGACCTCGTCGACTATTGTCTCCGCCCTCCCAGCGAATCCAGTGACGTCATCGACCGCAGTAAAAACCGACAATAGGCTGATGAGCGGGCCGACCGTGAGCAATACGACATCTAACACGACGACCTCCATCGTTCCGTCTCAAATACCGATCGTTTCCTCGGCCCCGACGATGCCGACACCTCCGAGACCGGCCAGCGTTCTTCTGGCTCCGTGCAGACCTCTGAACGGCGATACGAGTCGACCGAGCTTCATTTTGAACCTTTCGCAACTCCGGGGTGGTGGGGGCCTATTGATCCTGAACGGGCCTGCGAACGCTTCGAATGGCCTCGCGGGCGCCTCGGTCACTCCTTTAACACTTGTCTGTGGGACGAACGGCCCCAGTCCAACGTCTACGGTCCCCACGCCTGCCACATCGGCTCCCATCGCTATGACAGAAGGAACTCTGACACGCGTCGCAGTTCAATCAAGTGCCAATGGACAAACGATTTCGATTCCGAGCCCCCCGGCCTATCCGGTCAGCGGGATCTCACCGGTGGGAACCAGTACCGCTCCGGTGCCTGCCGGACCCATTCAACGCGTCCCCGAATCGACTGTCCCGTGTTCCGTGTCATCTTCTGTACCTGATTATTTTGCCATCTCGCCAAGGCTCATTCAAGTCAAGAGCGAAAACGTAAGCGACATATTTCTCCTTGAAAAATATTTCCTCTTATATCCTGATCCCATTCGTCTGGAATCCTCGGTCGAATTATGGGGTCTGACCTCTGCATGTCGCAATGAAACAGAAATCCATGTCCCTTGTCGGGATCGCCATCTAATTACTCGCTGTCTGCTCGATTCTATTTCACTGCCTCGATTTCAGCCGATACATGTGAAGGCCGAGACCCCCGACTCGGCGTCACCCGTCGTCGAGGCCAAGCCCAGCCCTCCGGATGAGGATATGCACATGGATGACCTTCTGCCGATGTGTGAGACGAATCGTTCAAACAGTCCCCCATTCCCAAATCTCACGCCCACATCGCTCCAGCTGCCAACAGGTCCGTTGGATATCAGCGACATCTTCAACACCCAAGTACAAAACGGCGATTTCTGCGGTCCCAAGGATGACTTCATGACGGATTTCGGTGGCCCATCCGTTTCGTCCTCAGACAATACGCACACTATGCTGAAGACGGACTTGAAAACCGAGCCGCTCGATTTCGCGGATGTGCCCACCACTAGTTTGGCACAAGACCTCTCGCACAGCTCCGCGCACATGGCTGGGTCAATCGGCGATGGGACTGTTAGCGATTTCAACACCATGGATTTCATCGAGCACAACATCGGCGGGAGCGAAGAAGATGGATTCAACATCGAGACCTTCGACATGCTCGGGAGCGTGGCTACGTGGGAGGATCTTAACGACATCAATGCTCTCACGACCTCGCAGGTAGAATTCGGGTCTCCGCGGTCCGGATCAAGATGAGGCAGCTATTTCGGTTTCTCCGCTCTCAGCCTCGATGATTTTATTTGAAATTGGACTCCCGAGAGAGGATTATCTCAGATATATATGTAAATACATGTAAATGAAGAATTATCTCAAATTATTTGAGATGTCTCTTGTCGAGAGGAGCCCAACGCATTCGGTCGTTCCAGATTCCACCCCCTGCACTACCCTCGTCGAAACAGCAAAACTCTATGTCAGCTGGCAGCTCGCCTCTATCATCCGATACGTCGGCTTCGTTGATGATGCCGCCACCTCTGGCTTTACCTCCTCCGGCTTCCGACCTCTTAACGACGATGAATTGTGATTCGATACACAGAACATCACCGACCGACTTCAGTGCTAAGATGTTGTGCATCAAGATTGTGGATTATTCTCCCGACTGGGCCTACACTCCTGGTGGTGTCAAAGTTCTCATTGCCGGTGACTGGACGCAATCGGTCAGGTGAGATGAAAGGCGGGAACCGAATCGACCTCGCCTCGCCTTCGAGGTGGGCTGAGCTCCGACGAAGGATGAAGTCATAACATCGTTGGTAACTGAATTTCGCTCGCCAGCAGCAGTCACTTCTCAATCCTTTTCGACGGCATGAGCGTTCCGACCACTTTGGTGCAGAACGGACTCCTCTGCTGCTGCTGCCCGTCGCACGAGCCTGGATTGGTATCACTCCAGGTCGCAGTCGACGGATTTGTGATCTCCGACACCGTTAAATTCGAGTACCGGTGAGTCATGTTTGGCATTGATTCATCCATCCACCCCAAAAAATGATTCCGTCGGATCTTCAGAGTCGTCGAGCCTTCTCCCGGTGGATAGAAGCGGACCAGATGTTTCTAGAACTTTGTTCGCCAAAGATCGCCGAGAGAACATCAAGAAATAATTATATGGAAAAAGGCGTAAACATATACAGCGTACACAGGGGACTCTCTGATCACATCCCAAGGCCCCCTTACGCTCAGGTATCGGGGCTCTTTTCCTGAATCATTCCCATTGAACGTTCTGCGATTTTCCAGAGCTGGGGAAAGAGCTGCGAATCGTGCAAGCGCCCCTACGGATAGTGTGGAATCCAACGATGTCAAGAAAACAAGAAGTTGTTTCGACGTTGAGGAATCCGCTTTGAAATACTCACTCATGGAGAGACTTGAATCCATCGAAGCGAGACTCGCGATATCTACCGAATGCGAAAGTCCGCGGAGCCTTCTCGCCAAAGGTAAATCCTGAGCCTTCGATATCTTCGCCATTCGGCACGAAATCTCAAACCGGAGCTTCACCCCGCAAATACGCCGCATCAGGAGCCCACGACTCAACTTGATCGTGATGGCGACATTCCCAACGCTGAATTAATTCTGTTTTTGCAAAACTCGCAGCTCTCGCGGCGGGATCGTGGAATTTCGAACAGCGGATGGTTTCCGTGTGCTCAGGCTTGATGGTGTCACCGAGCCCCCCAACAGCCGCAGCAGCGCCGGTGAAAGTCACTGACTCGGAACAAATGTCTCTCTTGCACCTGTCGGCAGCCCTCGGGTAGGAGACTGATCCGTTTGGATTCGTCCGCGATTGGGGGAAAGCGATGAAAATTAAATCGAGTCACTTGCTCCAGGTACACAAAACTGATCTCGGTTCTATTGCGATGGCGCGAAGAGAATCCGTCGCCCCTAATTGAAAGCGAAGTGGACGCATTGAATCGAGATTTCTATGAGAATACGCCTCTGCACTGGGCTTGCGCTAAGGGACACAGAAAATCCATTCAACAATTGCTTTCATGGAACCCTGCTGCGGCCAAAGTTTTCAACTTGGAAGGAGACAGGCCTGGGGATTGCGCTCGAAACCACGAGAGCCAAGGCACTTCGAAGCAGTCCGTACAGATCTTCGATTCGAAGTCGAGGTGAGGCAACGACGGAAGTCAAATCCAGAGCGAAAGTTCGAAATTATTATCGGAGAGAGTCTGCGTTGGGCTTCCCACTAAGCTAGAAATTTCCTCAGCATTGTTAACTTCGGAAGACGTGCCGCGAAACGTCCATCCGCGACACCGCTGCGAGCTCTCCTGAGTCTTTCGCTGAAATCACCTGGCGACCATGGATTGTGCGAAGCGGACAAGAACGCTCCGGGAAGTGACTCCAACGGCGATGTCGTCGGTAAGCGGGATAGAGACTCTCTAAAGGTCTTTGACTCAGTCCGAGAGTGTTGCAATGGTCGCCGACAAAATCACTTCTCGTTCCTGGAGGAGCCTGGAATTGAGAATGATTTTCCAATTCCCTCGGGTTGATCCCCCAGCATGCCCCTATCCTGTCGGGATATCGCGGGCGTTTTGACTTCCCGAATGCTTATCATATTTTCATTTTCAAGTTCATTCCCATTTTCCTTTTTCTTTAGTTTCGCTGTTTGTTTTCTGCACCCATTGATTGACGTGGGACCGAGCTCAGAATCCCACGAGCTTCGTCGCAGCACTGGCTTGAAACGAGGGAAGAACGGCTTCTCTGATCGGGTGGTACCTTACCGACCTCAAACCTTGAGGTAAGGCACTTTTATCAGAGAAGTCGTTGCCGGAAAATCACAGCAAACGCTGCTCTCACTCAAAAGGTAATCGTCGGGCGCACTCCTCCCCATCCTGTCTTGAAAGTGTCGCTCCAGGAATCTTTGCGTTTATCTCTCGCCCGTTCCGCTATGGAGGTGTGCCTGTCCGGTCCAATCGTCGGAGAAAATTGGAATCCGCCAAGCCTAGAAGCAAATGATCAGCATGAAATATCGCTCTTGCAGATTCATCATCGAAGAGTCCAATCGTAGACGTGGTGAGCATTTCGGAAGACGAAGAGGTTGACGATACGGCTGCTGTTAGTCCGATCGGACCCACTTCATCCAACCGTGAACTGCTTGACGTCAAAGGTTCGATCAGATATCGCTCTGTACTAGCTTTCTGGAATTAGGGGGTGGCGAGTGGCAAACATTCGGCCTAATCCTATGATTACCGCAGGTCTGAGCTCAAAACAACAACGCGTCTTCAACATATGCCTTTATGCAGATGAAGAAGAGAGAATTTTGAATTTGGCCCAGCAAATTATAGCTGCTCTTCCCGAGCGCATCAAAAGTGAGCGAGCAGCATTCGTAGAGAGAGAAATTGTGCGGATTATGAGATGAATTGCTCGAATGAGTTAGACGTGCTGCCCGATGGGAGCGATGCGAGCCGTCTGCTAACCATCATCATTTCATAATACATATTCGCATAACTCTCTGAAGCAGGTCACGTCCAGGATTACGAAGATGAAGATCAGAGGACGTGTTGCAATTCTCCCATTCGACTAGATTCCCCCATTGATCCCAGAGAGGAAGAGCTCCTCGTCGAGGAGTTCGAGGCGTCGTTGGAAGAATCGACGTCTAGTCTTTTCTCGGACAACTTGCAGTTCGACTTGACCGAACAAAATTACCGGTGAGCAGCTTCTACCTTCCGGTCAGCCATTCCTAAGAAAAGCGATTCCCACATTTGGGCATTATTCACGCATGTATAAAATCAAGATTCTGACTGACGATCCTGATCTACGATGCGACGTTCTCGGCAGACTCACCGATGATGACCCCACCACCTCATTACCTTCGTCGTCGACTTGCCCTCGGTCACCGGTGAGCACAACCTTTCTTGATGCTGGATTCACAAGGCAGACTTGAAAATCGGCGTCTCATTGACCCCCCCCCCAAATCGGTTGCAGGCGTCCGACGAAATAGTGGAGCACGATTTCTCGAAGTTGAACCTATCCGATGCTGAGCAACGGGAGTTGTATGAAGCCGCGATAACAATCCAGAAGGCATTCCGATCTTACAAAGATCGGAAAATATCCGAGCACCAAGAAGCGGATCACAAAGAACGCGAAGCGGCCGTCCTCATCCAGAACTATTATAGGTCAGCGTCGTCACCATTCGTGATGCAGCAAAGATCTTTCATTTACTTTTCCCCCAAGAAGCTCGTTATCGAGTCACCACAAATTATCCAGAGCTACTTCTCCACAGACGCTACAAGCAATACTTGTACCACAAGAGCAAGAGCAGCGCCGGATATTTCGATGTCCCTTTCTCTCCGGACTCGGGATTTCCCGACGCGGAAACGAGCAAGCGCTTGAAAATCGACACGAAAGAAACATCGCTGAGCTCTACAGTTGAGCATGACCTCGACCGAATTTTCGGCAGCTCAGCGTCAACGAGTTCGAATATCCAAGAGACTCCGAGCACTTCGGGAGTGAAGAAACAACCTCCGACTCAGAAGAAGGAGACCCAGGCAGCCAAAAAAATACGCGAATTCCTCAGAAAGAAGTCCCAGAACGGGTGAGCCTCGGTCTGAATGCCATTTCGTCGATGATCCCCATTTCAAGTCAGTGTATACCAACCCGCCTCAGTCAGAAAAGCGGTTCACAGCCGCTAAATCGGCTCTCAACAAACGCCATTCACTTCGCAGGATGGCTACGCGGAGTTCGTGGAACCATAAACCCGGGAAAGAGGTAAGCGGGTTCGCTGGATTTTTCCACATGGAAGACGGAATGCTCTTTATTTCGGGACCGGGTTTCGATATTCAAGACATGACTAAAGCTTTATTTTCTTCGACAGGAACGGGCTACGTCAGCCGCTCCGAAACGTCAAGAGCGAAGTACGCCAATGGCTGGTGCCAGCCGGACACATATGAAAGTTTACGGTGGTCTTCGAAGCTCGAAGTCTCAGAAAGGATCTCGACGCTCTGGCGCAATCTGATGTCCCGGCTCCTGAGTCGGCGTGAAACCTGATAATTTTCTCAACCCCTAGCAATCCACGTTGTTTTTGTCTAGCAAATCATATCGTAAATTGGAAGCAAGCAAGCGAGCTCAATCGGGCTTGCCTCTTAGTCCGCTACCTGAATCTGAGGGCTCAAGGTCGTTGCGCTACCCTCGGCCCTCACCCTCTGAACCGGAACGAAGGATCGTCTCTCAAAACGTCCGACGGAGCTGACGCAACGTCGGCGATTCCTCATAGCCTCGAAACACGATTGGAAGATGTGCTCTAATCCGTATGCCTTAGCCAAGTCAGAGGGCTATGATGAGGTTGATGATCAGCGGCGCCAAGACATCGACGTCCTGCCGGTCGAGTGTGAAGCATCAATCTGATATCACCCGAATCACCTACATACCATTAATTCACTCTGCGTATAGCAGTGATTATCGCTACTTCCAAGCAGAGTACCCAAGATATCTTTTGGAGATTTCCAGCCAAGACAATCGATACATTGATTATTGAGAAAATTGCTTATGTTGTTGATGGCATTGTACCTTTCGATGCGCATTATATCGATCTGCTTCTGTGCCTGTTAAGAAACCAAGTGCTGGTACTGTTCATCGACTTAGAAGGGTCACTCGACGGAGCACGCTCGGTGCACTTGTAGTGATCAGGACGCCTTGAGCTCTGGTTCTATCGGATCGAGCTCGTTCCGGAGTCCATCGCCCGCATGGAAATGGTGTGGACGGGCGGCGTCGACTCGAATCATAGGGTATTCAGCATCTTTGAATCTCAGCTTCGTTGTACCTCTCCTAGAAATATTTAGACAGGAATAGGTCGAATACGGTATTCAAATTCCTTGCTCCCAAGTCAACGTGACGGAAACCTCCCTGAACTTTCGGACGCCTGAGGTACAAAACAACGCATGTAGGGCTCGAGCTTGGCAGAAAATCCCCATTTGGCAGTCCGTGAAAGATCCGCGTTCGTGTCGCGACTCGGTCGTGAGATCTCATCATGGTCGTCTTCTCTACGCCGATAGGGAATGAAGCGATAATTTCCGTGATGGAATGTTAGTGGGTATCGCTCCGAGAGAGATCCGCTCGTCAGGACGAGGATATCCGTCTCAGCCGGCTCGAGTTAGGCTGTCACCCATTCAGGAGAAGAGGAGACTCGATCGAGTTTGAAGTCCTGAATCGGAATATCCATCCGATCACGAACTATCGAAATTTGATGAGACGGCCTAGAACATGGCACTCCTTGAATATTTCCCAAGCAACCTAGACTAGAATAGAGACGCATCAGTCGAATACCATGGTACAACAAATCATTCTCTCTGTGAATATACATCAGTAAACTTGGATGATCAGAGAACGAATAATATTACAAGAGTAATAATAATCGACCTGAAGCCTCGTGTGACTACGAGAATAATTTTTGCAGAGTTGGTCTGAGTTGCTGTGTACTTTTGTTGAGCATACAAGTATTTTGAACGCCTTCCCATCCCCGAAACTCTATTGTCGACCCTTGATTCTCGCGTCACGGCGGTCTGGAAGCGCTCACTCCTGTTGCTGAGGAATCCTCCTGTGGAGAAGCAGCACCTTCTCACCAAATGTCATTAAACAGAGACGGAGGAAGAGGGGTAGATTCCCGTCGGTATTCTCGAAACTTTTTCGAAACCTCAGTTTGATTGGTCTGACCGAATTCGACCCGGTAATCGGTTGTAGACACGTTTCGTGACGAGGGAGGAACTATTGTTGCAGCCGTCGTCGTTGTTGTTGTTGAAATGTTTCGGCGTATGTCGGAGCGGAAGGTTTAATTAGCATTGAATGTATAAGCGTATTTAGAGCGAAAAACAAGATCAACAACATTCGATCCACATGTTTGGAGAGCCAATGTCGCGCGCACAAGGTCTCCGCCGTGGCAACCTGATGATAATAAGTCGTAAACTCGATTACTCGTTTAATTCAGACTGTCTATCTATTGATCAAGTCATTAGTCTATACATTATATTTCCGATCACCTTTCAACTCTGTACCCACAGATCTGCAATGAGATCTAATGAGACTATTTAAGGGATAGTTATCGATTCAAGAGATAATCTATAGTCACGACGTCATCGATGAGGCATCGAAATTAGATGGAGGAGATGAGGCGAGGAAGAAATGAGAGAGAAAAAGCAATCCCGAGTCGTAGTCGAACGCAAAGGAGAATGAATCCTATTCGGCGAATTCAGCATGTCGTATGATATCACTCTGATACGCCGGGCCATACGAGCCGATCCCAATGGTCGGTAGCCCTCGAGATCGGTCCCTAATCGTCTCACGCGAGGCAAACGCGACCGCGGTTCGGACCTGATCATACGGCTTATGTTAAATCTATCAAGCCATCGGATGATGTCCGAATTGTTCGTCGAGAGCGTGGAAGCGGGTACGGCATCGAGATTCCGGAGTCATAGAACTTCCAACAAGCAGACGCAAAGATCCCTGTCGTGCCAAATCCCAATCAGAACGTGACCTGAAGTCGAGGCAGAAATTGATTCCGTTCGAAAGTGTACAATTATTCCTGGCTGAACGAAAGTTCGGCCATTCGCCTGGCGACCCTTATTGAGCTGTGACGGCTGATCGAGTCCAATCGGTGATGGATGGTCGGGGAAACTCTAAGAGAACTGGCGGCTGACATCCACTACGTTTACAAGATTCTATCCTCTACTGCGATACATGTTGAAGCCTCCGAGTTCTCCCGTCCCGTTCTCGGGCCTGTTCCCGATGACGCGGGGATCATGCGGACGCCATAGGGTATAAGAAGCGTGGCTATTTCAACTCGCGATTCCGGGACCGATGCCCCAGAGCTGGGCTTCTATGCCGAATGACATCAATCATCAGGGCCTATCTCTCTTATGCACGCCGCATCGGTCCCCGAATCCCGAAATCGATGTTTTAGGTGTGTGAGAAAGGAAAAAAAATGAAAAAATCGTTCAAACCAGTTTCTCAAAGAAGGAAACGACCCATAGTTTTGAGAAGGTCCAACACCTTTGCGTCGTTTTGAGAACTGTCACTGTGTAGACAATGTAATGTGTTTCTCGGTCGCTACCGGTGTCGTCACTGCAGTTTCATATTGCCTTCACTCAGCGTAAGTTCACTGCTCTGCAAAACAATCATGTTTCTCGGTGAGAGGGAATCGTTTCTTGGAGGCTCTGCTAGCAAGTTCTTCTTTGTGTCTGCTCCAACTCGGCGCCGTACCTCTGAAGCACCTCGTCAAAGCCTGCGGAGTGCAGGTGTCGCTCTCGCAGGTCCCGTGTTTCACCAAGAGTTTGAGAAGTCTTTTGTGTGCCACCGACATCGAGAGCTATACTGCCAAAGGGTTTGCCCGTGATATCCTTTTTCGCAATCGAGCTACGACATGACCCTCCATAAACTATCGGGGATGTGCTGGTCTCGAAGCGTTGTGTGCACTGATCAGCCGGAAAGATTGACCTTTGCGCGACGAAATTGATTTTGCAGACTTCGATTTGGTATATTATTATCCGAGAAGAGCTAAGGTTCGGATGAGCATCGACTCTCTACTAGGAGCGTAACTATGATCGACACCATTCCTCCGTCTTAACATTCTGATGTAGGCCACCTCACACCGACTCCATTCAAGGCGAGAAGAAGGTGCTCCCGGGGACACTTGCTGGAGAACCGGGCACGTCGACCGCGGAAAATGATATTGTTCGAAGCTGGAAGATGACGTCATATAATAAAAAATTTCGAGATCTTCTCCGTTCAACTTACTCCCGTGTTTTCCGTAACTTGTCTTGTCCGTCGACTAGGACTAGGGACAGGGACAGTAAAACGCGAAGCTCACGGCAGCTCATTCCAGCAAAACTTCGGCGATGATGGATCTGACGACTACCCACAATTTCTCGCTCCATAGAGATCCGTCGAGCTCCGCTCATCAGCCTTGACCGCATTTCGTCAAAAATACTTCCAATGTAGTTCTGACTGTTGTTCTGACGATTGATCCGAGCGTTCACGAAGAGCCTGATCCATGTGCACTCCATTATGTGTACCCATATCCATTCCGATTCCATTTTGTACATAAACTCCGATTCTACTGTGTTCAATCACTCCAATGCAAATTCATTGTGGAATTGCCGAGTATGCGCGGCCGTAGCGATAGCCAATGGAGACCCCGTAGAATAGAGCGGTGGGAGTGCGACAGTATGCAGCACTAAAGGATCTCCACGACGGAAAAGAGGAATTCTGGTGATTTCTTTCCCAAATTTTCCAATGATCCTGCTGAATCAGAGGCGGTTGAACCGAATGGGATCGCGGCGGTGATAGAGAGACCTATCTCTCGGATATCAGCCTCGAAGTATTTGAGCAGAGAGAGTCAGCTTGCTGACTCGAGAACCCGAGATCGTAAAGATCTCTTCAGAGCGAAGTGGAGTCAATAACTTCCGACAACTTGATGAGCAAGGAGCGGTGGAAAGCGCCGCGAACCGTCGGTGCCGACGACTGTTGCTTCTAATCGCCCTTGATATTGCTGTTCAAGGCCACCTGTACTCCATCTACCGAGTTGCCATTGCAGTAGCCTCGCCAGCTGCCCCTCTCCCATGGTTTCCAGCGATTTTCATTCCCTCCCTTCCGAGCTAAAGAGCTGGACGACGAAGGGAAAGGTCCACGTGACCCTCAAAGGAGGAAGGGGAAGAGGGAGCGTCCGCAGGCTTTCAGTCACTGATCCGCGCTCTTACCTCAACTGTGTAGAGAGCGCAAATAGAACGATTCGTGAACGTCGCACGATTCAACAGCGGTTGCCCGCCATCGCACGACGCCGGATTCTCTGATCGCGAGCGTGACCTGCTCATTCACAGAACCCTCGAGAAATCTGTCTCTGCCTGCGTCCCATCCGTGTCCCTGCTCCGTTCCCGGAGCTCTGTCTCCCGAGCAGTCCCAGTTGAGCGCTCGAATTGATCAAACGGTGTCGTGGGGCGATTGAACGAGATTGTGTCTCGGCCGTCCGAAGTTACTCACCTCCAATTCGACCAGAGATATCGCCGCCGTCAGCAATTCCGCGCCAATAGGATTCAAGTTCATCGAGGTTCGTCGACTATTAGGATGGAATCAGAACATTAGGTGAGTTCGCCGTTCCAGCTCTCTCGGAGCGCCATCTCTGTGAGATATTCCCGATCCGACGAATCGGAAGACAGATGAGCTCAATACGATCCGGCGATGTCTTGTCCCCTGTCGATCTCCGTGGTACGCGACGAGCGTGAATCCCGTGGTCAGCTCGCGGACAATGTTGTCTTACTTGCCGATGATGATGCCTTGACCGTGGATGGTATCGAGCGCGCTTCTCACCCGGAGCTGAACGTCAATGTCTGACTGTACTGCCCGACTGCTGATAATAGTCATAAGGCCCCTCAGACCTTCTCTGAATGTTTCCGCCTTCTATGCCGAGTCGAAGCTCGTGCCTTCCTTTTCAACTTCCCGACAGTACAAATCTTCCATGAGGAATCATGTGAAAGGGTCCTCGCTGGTTCTCCCGCCTTGTCGACCGCTTCATGAGCGCGGGACACGAGGTGGGGGAGTTTCGAGAAACAAGTCGATGCCGAAGCAGACACTGAGCGAAAATACACCCCCGGACAGTCCATATGGGCCGGGGTAGGTAACCGGAGGCGCGAAAGATAGATCTCCGGGCGAGCATAAAGAACAGAAAGAGCCGAAAGGATCAGTAAGTGCGGCTCCGAAGCGCGCATGAGATGAGGACCCGTACTGCTCGCATCTCCCAAAAATGGGGCTCATCGGTAAGCCCGACGGGATGGTGAACGACATGTGAGTGAGTTTCCTCTGAGCCTCGGTTCATTGTGGAATTAGCGCGCGAAGTTCCTCGACAAATATGCTGCTTCTTGTCCTGCCTAGAGCTTCTCTTCTGGTCTCCGGCGCGTGTGATTCTTATCCTGTTGTCGATCACCATTTGTATGCCACTTCCTCGGTCTGACATGTCCTCTGATAGGGATCCGCAGTGGAAAACTCCTGGAATTTCGGGTCAGCAATGCCTTTGGATACCTCGCGAGCGCTAGATCAAGTACCGACCTCCATTTTCGATCAGCTGTGCCGTTAAGCGAGGACTCACACCGGCGGCGGCAGAGGGGTCGAGGCCGAGATGTGGATGTCGCTAGCGGAGAGTTTTCCAGCTCGACGAAATCATGGGGCACTCGCACCAGTGGCTCAAGGCACCGGTCCGCGTCCGCGCAAATTCTTCCTCGACGGGAAAGGTCTTAACACGTGTGAGCTTGGACCCGCCGCGCTCCGAGTAATCGACGCGAGCGTCCCGGTGACGGTGGATTGAGCGAGAGTTTTAGTGGTAGATAATGGTAAGTGAATTACCCCGAGGGCGGAAGTTGAACTGTTGCGTGCCGCAAGGTTCGTCATTTCCTCCCCGTCTCCGATTGGACGTCGGTGTCGACCCATCTGCTACTCAGTCGAAGGGCGGGCGGGCGACCGACCGACCGACAGTCTGAATGAGCTTCTTGTTCCTCGTTCCGACTCGGGATCAGACCGTGGTCCGTTTCCGTCTTCCGGAGCCTTGAATACGGACAGACAGGATTACACAGGCTTGATGAAAGCCTAAGGCGTCGGCGAACCTCCCTATTCAACTCCACCTTCGACTACCTCGTCATACGACGGAACAGACTCGATTGAGTACTCGCTGCGTAAGCACGCAAATTGTCGTATCGGTTCCGAGCGTGACTGCGTCTCCTCTGCTGACGATGACACTTCCCCCCTCCCTTCCCGACCGATAAGCACCGTGTCACTACAAGTAGACGATATGCTATCACGCCTACGCTCCGGCGGAACAAAGAAATCCTCTGTGATGCTTATTTTGCTCGGTTTGTTCCCCTAAGATATTAGGTGGCATCGAGATGCCAATAAGCGGGCACTGCCCGTTTTCACAGCTGGATAGCGCAATATGATCCATGGCTGGCTCTGCTTCGTTTTGAGAGATCCACATAGAAGACATCAGCCGTATGAAACGCGCTGCAGTCCACACCGACCTCAAGCAAACCACTCGATCACAGACACGCTTCCTCAACGACGGCACATGAAAAAAATCCCTCGTATACTACCTGCCTATGAGCAGGAATAATTTCTCGAGAGGATCTGCCCTAGGAGGGGTCCCAGACTCGAGCGCTGGAAAATCGCCCCCAGTGTGGCTCATCAAACGGTCATTTTCCTCGGACTGTATGCCTTCGGTGCAAAGCTCCCGTTCTACGTGGTGATACCATCGCTCGAGTTTTGACGGACTCCGTAGCAGAGTTCCACTCGAGTCTGGAGGACCGACCAGTTCCCGGAAGAATCCTTGTCACGGCACTCGGACCCAATGACGGAACGTTGTCGATGATGAAGGCAGCGGACTCGTCGAGAGCATATTGAGCCGATGTCGTCGACGACATCGTCTTCGGTCGGAAAGTTTTGTCTCTCCATTCCAGTCTTGCTTTTCTTGCTCCGCTTCAACGACTGCGGGATCGTACGCGGAACTGCGGCCAACACTGAGAAGAAACAAAGACACGAAACTTTTGAGAGTTCCAGCCCTGCCGTTCGGGATCAGGAATCAGGAACCCCCACCCGAGTTGGAATCTCCATCGAATAGGAGGGAGCGAATGGGGAGAAACTCCAAGCATATGGAAGCTTTCCCGCCGGCACGGAATTCGCGTCTAGAGCTCGTGAGCGCACCGATAAGATTAGCGAGTCCTCGGCAAGGAATAATTCCTCGAGGGTCAACCCAGGGTGGTTGAATCACGTCACCTCTCAGACCGTCAGGGAATCTGGTCCTGCAGTTCAGGTGTATTTCGAGCGCCCGGTGGACCGACTGGATTTCCGCCTGGTCTCAGAGGGACTGAATTTTCTCGTTGTTCTTCTCCAGCTGTATACCTTGCGTCTGCATAAAACCTGGATCCGTGATGGCGATTGGGAGAATCGTTGGACCGCGGCGACCACGGAGCGGGTTTACCTGGCGGCCGGTCATAAGTCTCAGGGAACGAAGCTTTGTATGTAGCGAGCCCTCGACTTGGGCAATTACTCTACAGAACGGAAGGACGCGGTCATAGTCAAGGATTTTCTGAACCGCCGACTCGATGATGTCACCTCAATCCCTTGAAGCGAAGCAAGCGGATTTCGATTCACCCTTCTCCCTCGTCAAAGTCTTTCCTTCATGGTCATCCGCATATCGCATCGTTCTTCGAGAGTGTCCCCTACGATTAGGCTGAGCATCATGCCGAAATCGGGGAACTGTCGGTTATTCCATCAAGCTATTCAGCGCCGTCACGGACCTCGCAGATTGTTGCGTAGATAGGGTATATTGCTCCGGATCCTTCAGAGCGGCTGCGTTTGCGGGATAAAACTCATGTGACGAAAGCAATAGAGGCGATTGGGAATGTTGCTCTTGATTCTCATCGACGAGCGACATCGACAAGGTTGGCAGCAGAGGATCGCTCACTAGTCGTTGCGGTGTACCGGCCGGATCGCTCGGAAACAATGTCAGCAGGGCTTCGGCACTCGTCTCGATATGCAGTCCGCGCTCTTTGGCCTTGTAAAGACGACCGACGCGACGATGGCCGTGGCCTCGCTTAGCAATCAATCGAGCCAATTACGGTAATCACTGCAAAGCCGGGAGCGGGAGCAGCGGCCGCGCTAGCCAACGCCTGTACGCGCGGGCGCGGTGAATACAAGGGAGTGAACAAACATACATACAATATACAATTCAGTGGAATATTCAGGATGAGTTCGGAGGCCCGCTCGATCGCCCAACGCACCTCCTCCTCCAAAGTCTAGGGCTCCCGGCTAGAGCAAATTCGACAGTGAAATCTATTGGAGCCGCTCGAGACTTGCTGGCGGGTGTCAGCGCAGTAAATAGACTTCGAAGAGTATTAGGAAAGCAATGACGAGAGGCTTCTCCCTTCGATGGAAGCGAGTCTGAAGCTCCGACGGGAAGCTTTTGTCTCTGAGGTCGGAGACGGAACGATCGCTCGACCGATCCGTCGACACGGAACGGGAGTTTTCCAGGAAGTTGCTCAACTCCAATGGAGTGTTTTTCGAGAAGATATGCGAATGCCGCCGTCGGTGGAAGAGAAATGAGATTTTCAGGAGAAGGTCTAGGCGAATGTGAGAGGGCGACGGACGCAGAGAATAGTATCGCCTCCGCTGCGAAAAGTTGCGAGGGAGTCCGTGGGTGGATGAAGGGTCGACATTCTCCAGGCTGACATTCAACTCGCCCGTGTTGTCTCGTGTTATATTCACCTTTCGAATTCCAGATTGACCTTCCCGCCGTTGAGTGTTGATGATGCTCGGAGTGAGGACCGCCTCTGAGGGAAGCGTTGACGACGGTTAACAAACTCCGGGAAGAAGGCGAGACCGCTCTAGGAGATCCGGAGCAAAAACTGCACTCATGAGCATGAGTATCATCAAGGTGCGTCCAGGATAGTTCATGCTGCGAGTTTTTCCCCAGCCTTCCCCCAGCCGGTGGCTGAATGAGACGAAAGTGCCGCCAGACAGCTAAGTGATAGGTCTATTCATCATCTGGGAGTGATCTTACTTTTTCCCCGCAGGTTGTGGTGCTCGGCGCACCTGGAGTGGGCAAGACTTCGATCGTCCAACAATTCGTTTGGAATGAATTCAGTGATGTTCATCGACCAACGACGGAGAAACATTCCTATTTGGCTTCGGTTCTATACAACGAAAAACTGTATGCTCTACAAATTACCGATCTGCCCGTCATCCCCTATTTCCCTGCAGACTCGCTCTTTGAATGGGCTGACTACCGGTAAGTGGATACAAGCGCGGAGCATCCGAAATGTGATGATGGTCCCCACTTCTCCGTGGAATCCTGCGGGCTGCAGCGTTCTACCACATGGAACATGAAATTTCGGAAACGCCTCGGACTAGTTCTAAGCCTCGCTGATCGAGTTCATGAACTCGAACAACACCTCATGAGGCCAGGGACAGCAACCGCTGAAAGAGAATATTTCTTGTATTCGGCGAACGCGTCGATGAATCGCCTGCGCGAGCTGCTTCTCCTGGATTCGCTCGCGTATTATGCTAGCACTCAGAGTACACTAGCCAAGGAAATGGCATGCGCTTCCCGCTTCAAATCTGTTGCTCCTTGCAGGTATTATGGTCTCCGGAGCGCAACAGCATACATTCTCGTGTTTGATGTGAATCTGCCGGAGACATTCCAGTATGTCAAAAACATGCGAGAGCAAATTTTGCAGAGTCGAGCGAAAGAAGTGCCAATTCTCGTTGTGGGAAACAAGCACGATCTAGGTGTGTATGACACAAGTTCTTCGGTCTTGGCATCGACCGACTGAATTTCTTTCAGCGCCCATATTGAATGTTTCGAATTGTCGTCCTCGAAGTCCCTTGTTCGTCCCTGTTGTGTATGGTGAACTTTCTTCCTAACGACTGTTCCCATCCCTTAGAGCCCCGAGAGCACCGTGAGGTTGCCGGATTGGTGAAGAAACACTGGCGCTGTGGATACGTGGAATGTTCGGCGAAATACAATTGGCATGTTGTGTCCCTGTTCAGAGAGCTGGCCCGAACGATTGAAGGACATCGTCCGGATACTTCGGCCGGTAAGTCGAGGGACCACCACGAGCACGGGGACAAGAAATGTGCAATCTCGTGATGATCCGCGGGGCCGCCCCCAGACCGCGCGGCGGGGGTGGCCTGGACCAACATCGACGAGGAATACGGTCAACAATCGGGGCAACACGAAGTACAACAGAGACATCACAACAGAAGCAGATTCCTGCCGCCGTCGACGACGTCAACTGCCATTGCTGGGAATTTTAGCCGCAAGTGAATAGCATCCGATTGCAAATGAGATAGCCCCTCGAACCCTCAGCGTGTCCTCGAGCATTGGACGGAAATCAGGAATCTCCAGGAAACTCCCAGGTGTTCAGCTCGAACACCTCGGTTGGACGAAACATGTGGAAAATTCGCCGGAAATCACTCCCCTAATCGGGGACTTTCTTCAAAACGCGGACCCGCTCATACACCACAACACCCGCATATTTTGCCTTCTCGATACGTCAGCGATAAGGATTCGCGTTGTTCGACTCGATTCACTCGTTCGTCGAAACAATCTGCAGTCACCACCTTTCACTCACGCATACTATGAGGGCGATTTGTACAGAGAAAGAAGATCTCAACGACATCAGCCTGAAACCACTCTCCAACAACTCTCATCCTCAGCTGGAGCTTCGCTCGCAGCAGTATGATCTGCTTCTCCAAGTGCAGGGCCACGGACGCTCAACCGAAGCTGCGTCGCCGAGTTCACAGCTGCTTGCGCGCGACCGGCCGTCTCCTTCACCGCAGCTAAGCACTTGACCTGCTTTCCCTCTTTCAAGAATCGTTCTCAGCTGACCGACTCCCTGGAAGGATTACAACCAATCGAAAACGACGTTTCGCGCAAAGACTCTGAGCTGCACCGCCTACGGCTGCAGCCGATGAGCGGCCCTGTTCGCTTGGGCCGTAATTGCTCTCCGCATTCCACTGAACGTGACATTCCAGTCTTCGCTGAAACTTCCCTCAATCAATTAAACTCTGTGGACGGCTAGGATGGAGCGGTCCGCGTCGCTGCGATAGCCCATGAGCTTGCAAGTGATCCCGTGCGATTCACGATTGAGTTGCGATGTCCCCTCTGTCATTTCCTAAGCTCGGAACCCCGGCGACGATCATCGGAGTTCCGCCTCGAGCTTCGATTATGCCTAGCAGTAGTTTTGTTGAAAAACGGAGCAATCGATTAAACGAGACGATAGATCGAGAGAAGATATATACTATGTATGTAGACGGCTATGAATCGCCCGCGCGCATCTTTATGTCATGGCTACTCTTGAGTACATGCACTTTGTTACGATATGTATGAATTGTCTATCTATCTACTCATCTACTCATCGGCCACTGTTGAAGGTAGAGGTCACCGATGGACCGTTGCGGGTCAACCTACTCTGATACCTGGCAAGGTACCTGAAGAGCATTGGAGGCGTCGGAGCGAAGTGCACGGAGACGTGGGGATCGTCCGACACGGCTCAAGATACTGTTTTTCAAATGACTGTGCTTGCCGACCCTCTGAATGTCGACTGTTGTTGTAGAGAAGCACGAATCACATGAATCACTTTGTTGCGCACTCGACTGGGTCTGCAAAAGGAGTTTCATGGAATGATGCAGGGAGTACCGCTCCGGGATGACTTTCGCCTCACCAAGGAGCAGCGATTCGCGGATTAAGGAATCCCTTGGTCGGTAACCTGCGCGATCTGGCTCATCCAAAGAACAAAACTTGAATAAACACTCACGTTACCTCTCCTAGGAAAACTCGATAACGACCCCAAGAGCGAATGATCGGAATGATCATTGTGTATGGAGTGATCATTTTTACGCCAACCCAGACTTGCGTGATGGATCATTGTTACGGACCCAGGAGAAAGTCGAGAATTATATATAGGGTCGTGGCAGGAATCCGGACAAGGAGCCGAATAGGTTGGAGACACTCGACAACCGAACGGCATTTATGGACTAAAAGCACGATTAGTACCACGTGAAGAACTCCCCTCGATCCTGCCCCACGACGCGTCGGGGAAAGTTCGTGGATCGGACAATCTCCAATGACCTGAAGCGAGAGCGAAGGCCACTCATTGATACGTACGTTGTATGATGGACGAATATTGGAGGAACGGGCGGTCGCTTGAAGATTATACACTTTGACTTCGACGACTGCATTTTCGAATCTGATTCCTCAAGTCTGAGGGACGGAAACTCCTCCCGACTCAAACACGGAGCTTCTTGTCGAATTCGCCACTGTCACTAGATGATCATGCGGCTTTGACGTGATAGAGAGGAACAAGCGATGAAACAGTGCCATGGACGCTCACATCAGAAAGACGAATACCTGAACCAACGAAAAGCTGTTATCTCAATCAAGATCGTGGAACGCTCCTCACCTCTTCCCTCCGGGAGGTTCCAACAGGCTTTGGCTGCCGCCCCAGAACCTCTCCCCGTCGTGGAGATGCGAAACTGCGCCGACATGATTCCGAATTAAGATGGAAGACTCATGCAGACAATGTAAGCTATGATTTATGAGTCCGATCGAACAAATGATGTGTTAGATGAAACAAATCTTCTATGAATGTACCATACGGAGGAATATGACAGACAACGCGGAAAATTGATAGATTTTCCCAAATATGTACCTCTGGAGAGCCGCTATAGGGATGATGAGGCTATGAGATCAAGACGATATCAGGAGGACGACTCTGATTTTCCGAGCAACGATTGTTTTCGCGGGTGCGCCATCAATTTCATGAAAATATTCAACACTCGATAGGAATGAACGCGTGGGCTCCTCCTCGGGTATCCCGTCTGAGTGAGAGGTGAACGAAGATGTGAAGTGTGAGCGATTGAACACCTGTGCGAGTCGAGTCGCTGCAGCGATGAGCTCAGAAATCTGAGTACCAGTCAACGAATAAGGCGGTCGATCGAATCCTTCCCGAAATGGATGAGCGGCAATATTTTTCAAAGCTGGCATCTCTGTTCCGTATATTTAGAATCTATGCTGTTCCTAAAAGATAACGGCTGATCTCATGGGAGCCGTCTCTCCTCCATCCTCCGATCATTCGGAAATTCTGCTTGGTAGCTCGATTCGATCGTTCCTCATCGTTTTCCGAACGTTATTTGATATTTCACGCCGACGGAATGACTTGGAGCGAGACCGCGACTCGATACGTATCGCGAATTGTGGTCTCGAAGCTATGGGTGAAGCGAGACGAGTTGACATGTCCTCCATTGTAAAGCCAATTAAGTAAGGTGACAATATCAGTCTTGTCATTGTCGGGGGCTTCGCCGTGAGACGAATACTTCCGCAGACATCCAGAAATCTTGGAGCGAGGAACCGAGAGAGTGGTGCAACAGTGTTTCACAACGCACAAAACCGCTCTCGAACTTCACTGCCTGCCGGCAAGAAAGGAATTAGGAATCCGATCAAAACAACATATATTCCAATTTTGAATGCAGCCGCCCGACGCTACAACGGCATCTGTTCCATTAGAGAATTCCCGTCGAATTAGATCCACATCACTTGCTCCCTATCAACCCACCCGATCATTTTGTATACGCTGATCTCCGTCATTGGCTCTGAGTGCAACCTTCGTCCAAGAGTGTACCTCCTCCTCCTGGAACTCGAGCCCAGCTCTCGAGGAGAACTGTTCACGTCATTGTTCAGACATTATGTTAAGTGACGCTTCGGGATTCCTTCCCGCATGTCCTCCGACAACTTGTAGATGCCACACGGGCCGCAGAAGTCCCGTAATATATTGGACTTGGGTCTGTTCTTGACCTCTCTCTCAGGGCAAGGGTGCTCTGACAGCTCTTCCGTGGTATCACTTCACCAAAACTTCCGTTCTCTGTGGTTATTTCTCTTGTTCCCTCCCGCTCCATGTTCATTTCCCCCGTCCGGCTCGGTGATTCACGCACTCGAACGCCGACCGGAGAAATCGTCAGCCGTCGGGGCTTGAGAGGACCACGGTGGACGATTGATGTTATCAACTGTTTAAACTCGCCCCTCGCTTAGCCACATCCCATCCCGTGTCCGACATGAAGGTAATTAATATTGATTGTTTTATCGGAGTTTTGCGCGGATCAAGGAGAGAATGAATCGAAATCGTATGGATCGCAGAACCGAAGAACCGAAAATCGGCGGCGATTCGGGAGAATTTTCCTCATCAAGATCAGAATCCAAGAAAAACCTCCATAGGGCTCTTCGAGATATTGCAGCCATCATCATCATCATTATCATAATCTCCATCAACTCCCACATAATCGATTTTCAATGAGGATTGTCATTGTGGCGACCAAATCACCAACAATAATGAGTACGAATGATGGCGTTCCTGTTACCCACTCACGATATTATTTGAATACGATACGAATCGTATAACATAAACATAGCTATGATATACCCTTATTTGATACTGTCCTCGATGACAACATCTTACGTACGGTGGAAGTAAGGACGAAGTGTGACAATGATTGATTGGAGAATAAATCAATCACCAACTGTCAAGGTGTGAGCTCCTTCTCGTCATGTGATTTCTGTTTTCCAGCTCAAAAGGTGAGCTCCGCGGATCGTGCGAGTAATCTCATGGACATCTCGGATTCACAGGCCCTCGAAGGGTGGTTGTGTTTTTTCATTGCGTTTCCATTACTCTACTCCCCCGATTTCAGACTTTATTGGATTCATTTTAGTTTATTCATTACTACATCGGGGTCCTCGCGAACTCGCGATGGATCAGGGCTGTGCTGAGGAGCTTGGCTCTCGTGGCGAATCCCGAGCTCAGGGAGCCGCATTCTTCGTGGGATCCGAGACTGGTGAAGATCCTCGTTTGTTTCTGTCCCGGAGAGTCCCGAGCCGTAATTCACTCCTGTGCAAAATGCGAGGATAGGCTGTTCGATTTCCGGTGTGTGACTTCCATGTGAGATGTGAGCAAGTACGAACCTGTCTCCGGCGGCCATCGGCCGAATGTCTTTGCCCCTTTCTCTCCTGGTCTCCGGCCGGGCCGACGATTCGAGCATCGATCATGTTTCTAGCCGCATTCAGTACCGAAAGATTCTCACAAATATCACATATTTCAG